AAGCCTTCACTTCGACACACTTCCATTTTTCCCCCAGCAGGTTCTTCTTTCACTAGCATTAGCATGTCGGCTCGCATTTGCATGAACTCAGATAAACAATACCGGTGGCTCGCGCTGCATAACTATTTTATTTTTTTGAATCGATGACGATTCCGCATTTACCAAACTACCTCATTTTCGCTCGCACCAGTCCGGCATGTCTCACTTCTGCTCAACGTGACCTGAACTAACGGCTGCTCTTGTCTGATACCTCAGACGTGGTAATATGCCCAGTGCTAACTACATACATACATACATACATACATATAGCTGACTCATAGCTAACACAATGAAAATCAATAGATCGGACACGATTTCAATACGTGGCTGGCTGGCTGTGCTAACGCAGAAAGCCAGCTAGCGGTGCGGCACTTGATACGTTTGCTTGTACCACACGGCGGTGGCCAAATGCAGCAGGAGTTCACTTCTACATTGAGCCAAAGCCGTAAGCAAGCCCATAAGCCGCCGCCTCGCCGAGACCATGGCCACGGGCCTTGCGCAATAAGAGCTAATCTACCTGGTTTTCAGGGTCGGGGTTCGTTCGGGAGAGCGATGCAGCTCTACCCGAAAGCTACGGAGTACCGGGGGGGTATCGTTTCGTTGTCTCTCTCCAACTTCGTCACATTTGTCTGTTCAGCCTCGAAATTTCTGTCACATTTCTTTTTGTTTTGGCCCGGTTATTCGTTTTTTCGAATCCCTCCAACCCCAAATCCCCGGGGCCCCTTGCCCACAGGGTAGGGTTCATGCAGGCTAACGATCTGACAAGCGTCATGTAGGCCCGGAGCGTAACGTATTGGTGGCTTGCGCGAACGTGCGCCGAATCGGTTGTCACCTCCCGACGATCACTTGGGGAGTGCCTAGTATAATGATCTGATCTGACGTCTAAGGCGTATTCAAGCAGCCCTACCTATATAGATTTCTAGGTACTCCATACTATACTAGGTACCTCCTAGGGATGCCGCCTGAGCCGCGGGATATTACACGTGTGAAGCTTGCGCCAGCCCCCACGGCAGTTCGCTTTTACGAATACCTACACCGTCTGCTACATATACCTACCCAGGACTTTCAGCAGGCAGGGCGAAGATCCTACTACCCCAAGCCTAAACTCGTTCCAGCAAACAGGGCGCAAAAAATATGCATGCATGAATATGTATATGCGGGCGTTGGGGAGGCACTTTTGCCCAGCGAACGGTGTTATTGCCGAGCAAGACTTTCTCGATAGGGCAACTGGCCGTCAGCTCAGCCTTCCAGTTGCTGACGCTCGACGAAGCAAGCGAGAGCGAGCTACGGCCTGACTTTACTCACCGCCCCTGGGCCACCGCCCCCTTGACGGATGGAGCGGACTACCTTAGGTAGGTAGGATATGTTGCGCTCTGCTGTCGTGGTACGATACCTAGAGCGGAACTATATAGTTGCGGTCACCTTTACCTACACCTAGGTAATAACAGAGTTTGCGCGAATAACGAAATAGCGACATCATATCATAATATACTACCAAACACGGGAAAGGGGTAAGGGGGTGGAGTGGAGTTGGCATATGGCATGTGGATTGGTTAGTTAAAGGGGGGAAAAACAGATGAATAATCGGCATTGCTCGGTTTTTTCTTTTTCTTTTCAGCTTTCAGCCGGCTTGCCGAAAAGATTCCTGTACCTGTACCGTGGGTGTGGGAACACGTGGAAAAGGTGAAAGAAGACAGGAGAGAAAAGAACCATGCCTTTTGGCTGCAACCATCAACCCGTACCCAAGGGTAAACGGTAAAAAAAAAAAAAAAAAAAACATGTATCACGTACAGTTATAACGCACAGCAAACTGTACTTTGCCGCTACGGGTTGCCACGCTTTTTCTTTTCTTTTCGTCTGATGCTTCATGCACAGCTCGTCTGCATTGCTGTCCGCATTGCATGAGAGGAGCTGCTGCGCTCGCCTCCCCCCCCCCCCCTTCCCTCGTCACATTCCTTCTTCTCTTACCCAAACGAGCCTGATTCCCTTTCCCTATTGGGCAGGGGACATACGTACGGGCTGACGGGACGCGGTTCCCTGGTTTTTTTGCTGTGCCACAGTGCCACATGCAGACTGCACTTCTTCTCACCCATCCTACTGCCAACCCTACACCCAACCACCACCTATCGTGTCCACCCCGCGCCCACGGCATGGGATAGGGCTCGAGCCCACATGTGGCCCAGAGACGCTCACGGACCAATGAATGCCCCCTGCACCGTCCCTCCACGCCAACCGTAACCACCCCGTCGGGTCTCCTCCTCAGCCCGCGAATGGTTCCCAAGAAGTTCTCTCCCTTTTCTTTTTTTCTTTCTTTTTCTTTACACCCCCCTGTTGTCTGTCCCCTGGCAAGCCTGGGTGACGTGACTAGTGACTATTTTGGGAGGTGTGGGCGCGAGGGGGGTCTGAGGTACATGTGCATTGCACCAACCAGAGGCCAACCCACATGGCTTTGACACCACATGGGAGAGGAAGACGTTACCTGCTTCTGTGCATTGCATTTCAGCCCGTATATTTGCTTACCTGGTTCGCCGTTAGGCCATCGGGAGTTGACGAAGAAGGTCCCCGTACCTGGCCGGTTCGTCCGTTTTTCGCGCGGGACACCAAAAGAGAAAAAGAAAAGAAGAAGAAAAAAGAAATAGTTCGCCGGAACGACTTGGTTGCCGCTTCGAGACGACGCGGCGCGGTGTGGTTGACGTCGCTTTGGGCCGGCCGTTGCCCTGACCCCGACCGGCTTTCCTCTTCTCCCCTGATCCCGTACTCGCAGCTCGGTTTCGTCTATCGCCTAGGTAGGTAGCCAGTTCCCTCTACCTATCCCCGTACCTGGGATGTGTGTGAGATCCGTGGTATAGTGGGTAACGATATGGGTGTATGGATGCTATGTAACTGCATTCTGCAAATACGTACAATGCTTCGTCCTCGCCCTCGGCATGGCTAATTTAAGGTTAGTGTCTTATTTCCCGACGCGAGAGGCTGAAGAATGTAGGGACTTTTGGCTGTAGCGAATAGCAACACTCGGTTCCTGCCTGTTGGTTGTCGTCGCCGGGCTCTTCCCCCTGAGCTAAGGTATATGTAACAGTTCGGGTCTTGTACCTAGCAAGGCCCGGCCGCTCATGCTATAGGTACTATGCTATAATAGCAGGTATCGTGAAGGGGGGGGGAATAATCAGCTCACCCTCCCAGCTTCATTTTTCCGCTACCAGCCGCTGTGGAACCCTGTAGCCGAGGTGCCGGTGCTGGTGCTGATGCTAGTCCCCTCTCCGTTTTAAGATCGTCTTCTCCCGTACCCGTCCGCTCGTTCCCTGCTAGGTAGAGCTCTCGCCGGGGTCGCGTCGCAAATCCCGCCGACGCGAACAGGGGGAACAGGGGGGGTGGCAAAACCGACTCCAGGGAACTTTCGCAGCTGGGCCGCTTACGCGCGTCATCGTCGCAGAAAATTCTCCGGCGGCATACGCGGCGAGTGGCACATGACAGACGGACGGGGCGGGCGGGAGGGCGGGCGATCGCGCGTTCGTAATATGTAGCTCATGGTCAGGCCAGGTCCCGTCAGTTTCCCAAGATGAAACGAGATGGGACCGGGGGTTGGATTCGCTACCAATGCTACCCGCGGCAGGGTTTGTCTACACCCCCTTATTCTTATTTGCGAGCAAGGCTTCTTCTTCGTCACCCCCTGGTGGAATGTGATATAACTTTTCGGGATCGGAGATTCGATGGTCACATCTTATTTTTTTATTTTTTATTTTTCCTTTTTTTCGGGTTTACCCCCGGTCGAAGAAAAAAAAACAATACCCGCAATCCAAACACACCTCGCTTGCGGTTTGACGGGGGGATCGTCTGAATTCCGGAGCTACTCGTTCAGCTCGAGTACCTTGCAAGACCGAGCGGAGGAGCCGGTTGGTTGACGTTTGGTTGGCAGGATTGGATCGAGTAATAATAGCCGGGGAAAACGTAAAATAGAGTATCGAGATGAAAAATAATGACAAGGAGTTGACGTTTGCGGGAGTACGTAGCGTAGGTAGGCATCTATCTTACTTCAAGGTTACAATGGGTGTATTAGTGAACATGTACGCATGTATCTTTTCCGTGATCTTCGTGTGATTCCTTGCTAAGGGGGCGCCGGGCATGTACGTTACGGTATCCCCTCAAGCTTGACCCCGTAAGGCACCCAACAGGTAGTCGCTGTAGCTAGAGATATGCCTTCGTAGCTCTAAGTATCTAATCAACCTCCCAGGTACCCCGAAGCTGTTCTGGGTTACGAGACTTCAGTGGTACTTCGTCACAGGGTCCCCAGTCTTACATCCGAACCCGCGTATGGGCTATGCAGTTTATGTGACTTCGAGCCAAGCTACTCCAACTGTAGGAGTTGCGCTATTCGCAGCTCTTTCCATTGTTCGGCCCGAGGCCTCCCAATCTAGGGCCGATCTCCGGTGGCGGTTCGGCCGGCTCGATCCTCCCGGGTCCCCGGATATCCACTTGTAAATGACCGCCAGGCCGAACAAAACCGGTGTCTTCACCGCTGAAGCAACTGGCTGAGCGATCTGATGTCAATAGACACCGGCGAAAATGAGTGTTGCGGGCTCGAATAGCCTTTTGTCTTGGTGTATAGCATGAGTGCTGTGGCAAGGCAGTGCGCCGCAGTGTCACGCACACAGTCCATCTCTCGATGTCAAACGTTTAGCACGGCCTTAGGGATAAAACGTTTACATTAATGCTTTTTGTACGTGTAAGGAATCTGGGAGGCTCCCTCTTCCGGAGAAGGCTTCAAACACCTCCAGAGAGAAAAAAAAAAGAACAAGACAATAGAGGGTTGACGTTGTACGTTGAAAATGTGCTGAAAAGGTTCAGAATACCCCTCTAGCAATTACCTACGGGTCTAAAATACATCCACAGTATAGATCGCACTTTCCTTGCTTGTACGTTCTATCTCATAGTCCAAAAAGAAAAAGAAGGGGAAAAAAAGATATTGGCTAGAGGGGGATTCGAACCCCCTCCTAGTGACCCCAAGACTAGTATTAACCAGTTTAACCAATAGGCCACTAAGTGCCTATGCCAGCCCTTGTCGTAGTAAAACAGTTCTTCGTGCCAAGGTTCCGTTTTATATCGGTTTATATGTCCGTCCCGAGGGTGTTTTCTTTGTAAAGGCGGAGCAAATAAGTTCTCCAGGCTAGGCAGATTATCAGTATCTACGGACGTGTCTTTAAGGAAGCACGGTCCGATCTGTGATGGAAGGTATTGGCTCATGATATCTAGGAGGTAGGTATGCGCCCGCACGCCTGGAGTGCCTGCATGAATGGTGGACCCCGTTGCACTCTGTGGGTAAAGGAGCAAGCGGCTGCCACTCAGTAGATCATCAACAGCTTCTCCTGAGCTTGACGTGGGACATAGGTGGTATATTTCATATCAGGTAGTAGGGACTTTTTCAAGGTACCTACAGATATCAACTAATTGCTCTAATGCCTATAATATTTACCTTTGAGTTGTCATAGACGAAATTTTTAGGCCCTTAGCTATGTCATTGTCGTTGGCTACTCTGGACTTAGCGAGGCGCCCACACCACTTAGGACAGAGAATAGTTGCTTTGAGGTCGTGAGTTCATACGAAGTCTACAGAGCCTCAAGGTCTACAAGCGATGTTGGCATATCAGACGAATGGTGGCTCCGGAAAAAAAAAAAAGGCACACCCACTGCAGTTGGCTTCCTCCTAAGAAAACATGCCATGGTAAATAGCAACTTAGCCTTGAGCCAATCCATGTAGGTTGATAAGAGCTGGGTTGACCATTGCTGAAGGGATACGTTGACCGTCATGGGCGAATAGGGGTACGGGGTTGACGAAGATTGTAACGAGCTGAAAGAGTTAATGAATTTCCACTTCCGTGTGGCTAAATCATTAGATATTTCTGTACTTCTCTGTTAGCCGAACACTCCTATTTGATATCAATTCATCGTCCTTAGCTATGACAGATGCTCCTGGAATGCCCAGTGCTTCTTCTTGGCCAGGAGAAGTGTATCTAGACGTTTCACAAAGTTTTCTAATGGTATTCCATTGCTTGACCTGGCTATAAGTTCAAATTTTAATTGTTCAAGTCTTGTAGATTCCTAGCCACCTGCTGCTCTTCTTCAAACAGAGAAAAATGACAAGGCAATCCTGCAGCTCAAACCAACCGGCTCGAGCTGTATCTTGTGGACATGTAATAGGGGCCTCCACCGGATATGTCTCACTACGGTCTCGCAGTCGATAAGGACATCTTTCCTAATCTTCCCAGTTTTATGTTGACGATATCAGTATGATCTTAAGTACTACCAGGAAGTTATACAAGAATACTAGACACTTTTGTTTACGAAACAGCTGCTGAATACAACTCTGACGGCTAAATTTACACAAGAACAGGTTGGAATGTCGTCAAGCTGTGGGAACTGCATCCTGGGTACTCAATTGCCACCAACAAAAAAAAAAAAAGTCGTGGGTTCGGTATATAAGCCATATGTTCACTCGAGTCTGGAAAGAACTGCGTGTTCACACATACGTCGGCGATCTTAACGCCCTGGCGCTACTTAATAGTCTCGCGACTCATTTTATAAGCTGCGAATTGGATCGTTCTTGAGGGAGGATGCTGTGAGTGCAAATAGCTGCATTTAATACCATTCTTTATATTCTTAAGACATATCTATAACCGCCGGAGTCGGCGTGAGACGTGGAGGAGTTACATATTAGCAAAGCATCACAACAAGGTAAGATACTGAAGGAGACCATGAAGCATGTACTTGGTAGTGAGATTCCCTGTGTGCGGTAACATAGGACATCTATCTTGTCACATACCAGGACGTACCATGTCCACAAATCGTAGTTTACCCCTAAACAGAAAAGCAGAATATTCATTCAGTGGGCACCTGCTCAGGGATTTGGTCATAGATGATGGAGTGAAGCATGATGAAATCGAGAAAAAGGTAGGTTTTGTAGGCTGTTTATCATTATTTAAAGAGGAGACGTGCTGCGCAAGCAGCCAAACGACGAAGACGTTCCCTTAGGTACGACGAAACCCAGGTGGATGTACGCTTGAATTCCGGGGCGAAGCAGCCGGGAGACTCGCCGTATACAGGATGAATTCGGATACGCGTGTTGGATTTCTGGCACCGAGTCGAATGTGGCGGGTTCGAATCGGCTCCATGTTGGCAGCAGATAGACACAGGACACTGCTGGAGCAATTTAACGTCTGACTCTGGATGGTTAAGAAAATACCTAGGCTTTTAGGTGCTGGGCGTAAGTCTGTACACTCAGGGGTAAGTATCATATCACAAAATTTGGGTTCAAACAATTATATAATCATGATTAATCCAATTCCGTGATCCGTGATCCGTACTCATGTCCAGGTAGTATTTATTCCATTATACAAGATCCACGCTTTGCCTCGATAAACAAACCACCTCCCTCCTCAACCGGCCAGTCAATCAATCAATCGAGACCTCCCAATTCCTGAAGACCGCCTCAAAACCAAAGGTCGTATCGGTTTACATCTCACCAACGCCAAGGCCATGCTAGTTGATATATCCATATGAAACACACACACACGCACACACACACGCACACGCACACGCACACTCGCACGCACACTCGCACGCACACTCGCACATACAGACGCACAACGACTCTGAAAGCGACCCCTATATCCATCTATCGCCCATCAACCCCCAAATAGACCAGGTCTCATACTAATCGACCCCGTCGTCGTCGTGTGTCGAAGGGTTCCGCGAGGAGGCGGGCCTGTTGCTGTTGTTCGTCCTGGAAGGTTTCCGCAGCAACCCGCTGGCGCCGCTCTTAGCCCACGCGCCGTTGGTGACGAGGTTCATCGCCTGGGTCTCCGCGTCCTCCTCGTCGCTGCTCGCGTCGAACTCTTCCTCGATGTCGTGGCCGTGCCGATTCAGGGTTCGCATCGACACAGACGTAGGCGGTTCGTCAACGTAGAGGTTCGGATCCCGTCCCAGTATGCGATCTGCCTTCGATGGCGTGCGCCGACCGCTTTGGGATTGTAGCCCTGGAGATGCCAAGTAGTGTCTAGAGGCTCCGTTCAGTCGCTCCGTGGTAATGGAAACCGGTGTGGGATCAGGTTCGCCCCACCCGGCCGCGCGTTCCCTCTGCCTTTGCTCCTCGCGCTCTCGTGCGATTCTATCTCGTGCGGCTATCCACTTAGGGCTTGCCTCCCAGGTCCAGCCGTCGCCAGTCGTATTTATGATGGGAAAGAACCAGAAGATGGGCTTAGGGCCAAATAGATGCAAGAAGTTCCGCTTGGTGCCAAGATCGAAAGCATTCGGCAGCTTCTCGGAGTCCTGCTCGTCCAGGTAATCCTCGTACCGTTTCCTTGCGCGGTATTGTTCCAGTTCCTCATATGATAGCGGCGATGACGTATCATTATAGTCCCGGGTTGTTCTCACCTCACCTTCTTCCGTTCTTGTGATTCCAGGTAGTGCATTCGCGTGTATGTTCAGTAACTGCTGTCCGTAGCTCGGCAAAGGGATAGCCTCTCCGTTATGTCGTGCGGCGGACTGCTGCTGTATCTGGCGGTCCATCTCTCTACGCACCTTGTTTGTGTACACCTGTGCGTAACGAGTTTTCTCGAGACACTCGATAGTTGTCTGATTTCTGCTCGCAAGGAGGACGTGCCAGCCGGTGAATGCGCCGACGACCAACCCGATAATTCCGGAAATTACGGCTAACATGATGAAGTTGACGGGCATCACCGAATCGGTATATATGGTCTGGGTCAGCAGCTCGTCGTACACCCATGCTCCGGAAACGGCGAAGCAGTAGAAGCAGAATAGCGTGGTATATATCAGGAACAATAGGAAGGGCTTGTAGTTGCGCAGACCGATGCAGGTAGCAAGCCAGGGGCAGTGGTGGTCCATCTTGAGCACGCACTGGCGACAGGTCGAGCAGTGGTGGGAGCGGTCGGGCTTACGGGCCTGGCATTTCTTGCAGAATCGTGTTTCTCCATTGGACTTAACAGTGAAGGACGTGGCGAGCGGTGGGTTGGAGGTTGGTAGACTGGAGTAGCCAGAAGAGCTAGTAGTGTTACCTGGATTCGTGAAGACGGCGGTGGTGTAGGACCAGTTGAGTAAGAGATAAAGAACGACGCCGCCGATGGAAGATTTGGTTCCTGTAATTGTAATCTGTCAGCTTCGAACCCAACTTGACAGTTGGACACAGTTTAAGGCTGCAGGGGAAAGAAATGGTAAATACTAACCTATCCAACTTGGTTTAGACGTCGTGCTGGAGCCTATATTAACGACAACCCACACGGCCCATGTGGTGAGGCCGTAGACGAAAGCCAGGGGGAAGTAAGTGATCCAAGTGCAACAATAGCGCTCGATGCGTCGTGCCCATCGCCGAGCCATATTGGGTGACGGTTGCAGCGAGGGAGAAGGAATCCTATCCATGAGGGTTTGCAATAGCAGCAGACGCAGACAATACACCAAAAAAAAGAAGGGAAATGACAAGTTTTTGTCAAGAAAAAAAAACAGCTATCACATCATGAAACAAGCAACGAAGTTGAGTCCAAAGTCCGAAGCCTCCCCTGATATTCGGAATCAACCCTTGTCTGCCAGGTCTGACGTGACAAGGATCTTCTTTGTTGGTTTTCCAATAGCGCGGGGGCTTGGCTGTGGCCGTGCTTGTGCTTCGGAACTATCGGCCTTGCAGATGTTCCTCTTTTAGCTCGATAATTACTAAGCTACTTACGCTAAGGTGTGTGACATGCAATTAAGAGGAATGGACTAGATTATCTCATCAACACCTCTCGTAGTTCCACCATCACTCGTGATCTGTGATCTGTTGGTGATTAAAATGCATGACTCCAATGTGCTTGTTCATACCAATTTCATTCAATATACCTAAATCACATACATATGTATATATTTCCAATCTCCCACCCTGAGCCAGTACCCGAGCCAGTACACCGTCGCAACGACCAAGTAAGTCCTACGACGATGACGCTGTCCCGTTGCTATAAGTGCTCCCGATCTCGCCCCACCGGATATTCCTAAA